GTTAAGTAATTTTCTTATACTAAAATGTTGGTAGTCAGTGTATGCAGAATTTGATGCTCTACTATTTTAATTCTATAACCTTTTATTCTTAGAGAAATATTTTCTAAGCTGCACAGCCATTTATAGTAATTTATTTCAATTTTGAATGAGAAAAAAAAATGAGTTGACTATTATTTTTGACCATACCAGTTAACCAAATTTTAAAGGTTAGGTACTCGTTCGATACACAATTTAACGTTATTTATTTTTCCAAGAGTTATTTCTTTTATTTTCCTACCTATACTAGGTAAGGAAAGTATTGCGGGTAAAATTTCCAATATGCGGTTTTCGACGAATCTATATGTTTCTGAGCCACTTGAGTCCGAAAAAAACATTTTTAGCCATTGGTCTGTCTTTCCGTCTGTGCCAACATTTTCTCGGGAACTAGTGGAACGATTTTGTTGTTTCTTTTTTTATTTTGTAGGGTTTTGACTACTGATGCCTGTGACAAAAATTGAGTGTTCCGAAATCGTTCATTTCGGACAACTATTGACGAAGTTACTTCATCGCCCAACCTTCTCTATTACCTCCACATTTAAAAGAAATTATTGTTTGACAAAATTAAGCTATAGCAAAAAGTTTTTGATCAGAAATATTAGAAGGTATTGAAATTTTTACACCGATCTACCTTAAGCCGGTTTACAGTGCCTTAGTTTATCGAATAAATCGTGCTTAAATGTTTTCTTCGATCAATTTTCTGGAAAATAATTTTTTTTTGTTTCTTGATGGACATATGTAAAGAGATAAAAACTTTTCTGAAATAGGTAGGAAAGTCGTGTGAGCGGACTCAACAGATTTTTGGTTTTTTGCTTCGAAGCCCTTTTTAAGAGTTATTCCTACAAAAACTAAACATGATCTACCAAATTTGAGTTTCTTTGCTGACAAATTTTTTCCTAACAAGGAGGGAGGGACTCCTTAGCTGGACATCCTAATCCACTTGTACAAACATTACTAACAGACACACTACCACAGTATACAATGAGAAGACTCAAATACCTGTGGATTAGGGATCTGCTACATTAAAAAATCACGTTAGGAGTGCCTTCATTGGGAAGTTTCTCCAAACACGCATCCACGCAAATCTCGGAGAGGAGGTTCGCTAACGAACATCAAATAAACAAAATATGCCAAAAGCCATTTGTAAAATAGCTCAATAAATAAAATTATTAATATTATTATTATCAATCCTTAAGTTACTGGCGTAATATTGTTTAAATCGATTGGGATTTTTGACATCAGTAGCTCTGTAATAACATATACTCGTACTTTACATGAGAACTTTTTTGCGAAGAGTACTTTTTCTTAAGCTCTGGGTTCAGAACGAAATGAGATTGCCAAGATTCACCGGGTTGTTACATATCTTTAGAAAACATTTTCTTAACTTTTCCCGGGCTTTCTAGATCAATTTTTACAGTTTTACTTATTTTAAATATCATTAATTATTTTATCACTAACTATAACATGAGAAAGAAATGAGATATAAAAAGCATAAGGTATTTTTTTCAGTCTACCAACTTTTTTTTCAGTTTATTTCCTGAAAAAATCCCCAATGTAATTTATTGAGATAATAGAATAGAACGTTTTAGTCTTAAAAACAAATTCCGATTTCTTGAATTTTGATCGATGGTCTTGACATCTAAAGAAAAAATCCAGCTATGAAAATAAAATTAAACTTTGAACCCTACAATAGTAGATTCCATGTAAAAAAATTAACAATTACTTAAATGATAAGATAATACTCTAGAAATTCAAGTTTTAACACCTGTGTGAACACAGACCAATATGAAGAGCAGATTGAAAAATTTGATCAGTGGAATTACATTAAACAAATTATAGCTATATCACTGGTATATTATCTTATTTTTGGAGATATAATTTGTCATTTATATACACCCAGTAACAAAAAAATTAGAGGATTAATATTAAAAAAAAAATGTTTAGCCTTTTATAAAATTTATCATGAAAGTTTTTCCAAAAAGTATTAAATTCTGATCTGTATTTAGAAATATTTCAGTTGAGTCTAAAATGAAGAGATGGATCATAATGGACTGGAACCGGTTCAGATCCATTTTTTTTCTTTTCTGTCCTCTTCTTCTTTGCCTTTTAGACTATACGGGGTTTTCCCGAACCAGAGGGTGAGGACAAGGGATTGATGCCAGGGTTAAAAGCCCTCCCTGCACCGGGACGCGAAATCATTATTTTTTTTTATCTAGTTCTCTTACATCAGATTGCCGAGTAACAATGCGGTGCTGTAACATACGCGTAGGACCGCTCGGCCACCTCGCCCCAATTTTTTATTGCTTGAAAGTCTAGTGCCTACTGGTTACGCATAAATATACGTGGATCTCGATGGGGGCTCATTCTGCACACTTGCCCGTATGATCATTCCAATTGTCTCTTCTCCAGGGTCTCCTTCATTGCATGAATGTTTAATTCTTCCCTCATGGTTTTATCCCTAATCCTATCTCTGCGCGGTTTTGAGGCCATTCTGCTCATGTATTCCATCTCTGCTGCAGTTATTCGTCTTCTTTTATTGTCTGAGAGGACCCATCTCTCAGCTCCATACAGCAGAGCAGGCATACATACGGAATTGAAAATGTTGGAGTTTGGCGTCTTGATCGACTTCTTTCTTTCTCACGATTTTGTTGCTAGTAATATTAGCTTTTCTTATTCTGTGGGATATTTCTGGTTGGATTCTATTTCCGCTGAAGTTCTAAGATAGGAGAACTCATTGACGACTTCAGGCTCCTCGTCATTGCAAACTATTAACAATGAAGTAATAGATTTGTGATAGCTTTAATTAGTGTTGCCCAAATGCGAGACCGAGACGAGTCTTGGTCTTCCAAACTCAGTCTTGGTCTTGCACAAGAATTTTACAACAGTCTTTCAGTTACTTAATTAGCTTCTTAATATAGAGATATTACTGTAATTTTTTAGATAGGAGAAACCTAAGTAATCCCTAATGAAAAATTAGAGGAGTTTAATGCAAAAGTATATTGGTTATACCAATTATTAACATATAGTAACTAAGATTGTCAAGTATTAGTAACTATTTCGCCTTAATTTTTATTCACAAAATCAATTATTTTTTACCAGTCCTGGTCTTGGTCTTGCAGCAGTTAGGCGGCGTTAGTCTTGGTCTTGCAAAGTGCCAAGACCAAATTTGGGCAACACTACCTTTAATAGCAATAATTAAATATTATATACATTGATTATCACAAAAAGTTATTAATTTAATAGCATTTGTCTCTAAATAGAAATATTAGAGACAAATGCTATTAAATTAATAATATAATTTAATTAAAAAGAAATATTACTATGAAATATACAAAAGTACTGCAATTGCTTTTATACGTTTTTACGCATAAATTACACATAACATTTTTGGAGTATTTTTTTTGTAAAATACTTCCAAACTGCCGACATTATTAAATACAAATATTCTTTACCAAACTCAAGCATGAATATGGACGACAGCTACTGGTTATTTTTTAAAAATATGTTTATTTTTACTTTCACTTACGTATATATGAAATATATAGTAAGTATAAGTATTGCGATCGCGAAAATTTTCGAGTCTGAGTTTTCAACGGAAATATACGTTTTGATGTACCCTGAATCGAAATGACCAAGTCCCGAAAAATAGTCTGTGTGTCTGTGTGTTTGTATGTTAGCAGTCTAGCTCAAAAACGAAAAGTCGTACGAATCTGATATTACGTATTTAAGATAGGTATATGCCGTAGATGTGACAGCAACTTTTTCCTAAAAATCGGCTAACCGGAGGTGCCACTTTATATCAACGCTGAAACACATTTTTATAATTTCCTCACAAACGGCTCTAACGATTTTGATTAAACTCGGTGTATCATTGCATAATGAAGTGGTCTTTAATATCAATTAGGTCTTCTCCTCATTGATGTCACTTTACAGGGCATAAATGCCCTATGTTCATATACGCCTTCCTCTGAAGTACCTTTAATATGATTTATTTTAAAAGGTTAATCATTTCACATTATTTAACATTGTGGGCATTTTAATAACCTATTAAATTATTTATCATATGATTAACCATAAAATTTAAATTTTTTTATTGATCTCACCAAGAAAGACTTGGCATATCTTGAGGGCAAAAAATACTTGGTCTCGTTAAATATAGATACCAACATGAGCACAACACACCACAATTTCACTTTATAAAAGTATGTTTTCGTTCTTTGGTTTTTGAATCAGATATCTTGGAAGTATTTTTTTTCCTCTAAAAATATTGTTTTCGATTGTCAAATTTCAATATCGATATATTCATATCAATAATATTGGACAAAAATATCTCGATATATTATTAAAATATTGATATATTTATACTTTTCCAACCTTCCTGCACTGGTATCAGGAGTATTTTTTCGAGATTCCTGCGGCACCAAGCGGTTTGTCACAGTCCGTCACTTTTACAAACATCAAACAAAATTATTAAATGTAAAAAAAACAAAAAAAAAAAAACAGTATTTTTAAATATTCATTTGATATTTTTATATTTTCCATTTTTTTTTTTACAATTTCATACAATATCAGTACATGATCAGAATGCTCTTAAAACCTAACTTAAAGTCTACTTTTTAAATATCTTATTCAATAGATGTATCACAATATTTTAAAAATCTACATTATATTTTTTTAGTCGGTCCTCTTGAATCACATTGATTTGGTGCTTCAAAAAGATAAATAATTTAAAAAAATACTTTTGTTTCAGAAAATAAATTTACTTTCTCGTTGTCCTTTCTCATGTATAAAAAACATTCCTCCACATTTAATTTATTTTTTTTAAATTTACTTTGGCATATTTATGGACTTTCATTTTACAATAAGAAAATAAATTAGAGTACTCGTGTCCACACAAAAGTTCGTAAGTCTGATATAAAGAAACGAAAAAAGAAAATATATAAACAATCTGATTAAAAAAAAAAAATATGAGATTGCAAACAAACAAGTCTTTGAATTTAGCCTAAAAGCACAAGCTCTTTTTCATTCATATTTGACTTCCGCGTGACAAAGCCAGGTGCCGTCTCCCCTCTTCTTTGCCGTTTCCAAGACGAGGTCCTCAGAAGGGTGCTTGAGATCGTAGGCTTGGCCCAACTTGGCGGCCAAGTCGATGATGAAGGTGGTCCAGTTGGTCGAGTAAGCCCCGATCTCGGCTGCTTTGTAGTCCCATGGGAAGACGTGGTGGTAGTTGTGCCAACCCTCGCCAAGAGAGCATATGGCCACCAAGATATTTTCTGCAGGCTTTATAGTTCTGTAAAAAATAATAATAAAGTTTAATGTAATATATGTGTCGCTCATTTCCAAAGTAAGACCTATTAGATTTTTTTGTGAAAATTATTTCAAGAACCGGCCTTCAAAATTATTTCATTTTGTTTCACGATTGCAATTTGCAAATTGATTTCATTTCAAACTGTGTCTCAATCCGAAAAAAAACTGGGAAATAAATCTTAATACTCCTTCTAAAAGCGGTTCTGATTTTCTAATTTATTTATAAATGGCCATTTATTTTTATTTTTACTAAGTTTTCTTACTAATTAATATTTTTTAATTATTATTATTTATTTTGACTCATTTTTATTTTATTATTATTTTTTTAATATGTATGCTCATTTCTCTATTATTAGTATGTAATGTATGAATGAACATTTTTAGCCTTATTGCTTATTGCCCTCTAGAAGTGGCTAATTGTATTATTATTCAATAAAAATATAAAAAAGTTAATTATCTATAACATAAATGGCCCTCTGATAATCATTTATGATTTCTTGTTTTAAACTGTCCAGGTATTCTGTGCTTGATAAATCTTTTTTCAAAATCTGTAACTGATACGTCCAGATTTTTTAACATCTTCAAAATAACTCTTACTTCTGTTTCAGTTGTTATTTACTTTTATTGTAATATATTTTTTATTGATCTTTTATTAAGGCGTTAATACACTTGATTTACGCTTATTTTTGAAAAAATGCCATTTTTCATTTTTTAAAGAATTAGTAAATATTTTAATGAAAATAATTTTTAAAAAATATAGTAATAATTTTTTTTTTCTATTGGCATTACAGACCATGTAGATCTTTTGCAGGCTTAACAAGCCTGCTCCATCTCTGCCTGTCTTGGGCTATTTCTTTCCATTTATCTGCTTGCAGCTATTGAATCTTTGTTGATTATATCTATCAAACTGCTTTTTGACTTTCCATGTAGTCTTTTCCCTTCTATTGAGGCATTCATTGTTACATAGAGGCTTCCATTTGGTCCATTGAGGGTCCATCTTAACCTTCTTACGTTCTTATCATGAGATATTGATTGACGAGTTTCTGTAAGCAGCTCTTTATTGGTCTTTCTTATCCATGTTTTAGTACTCTGATCCCAGATCATCTCCGGTTATCCTGCGGAGGTTTTTCCTCTCAAATTTTTCAACACTTTTTTCTAGGGTACTGGTTTGTGTCCAGGTCTCACAGCCATATATTAGAACTGGCTTTATCATAGCATTATACACACTTAGTTTATGATTTCTTGAGATTTTTTGGTATTTCAATACCCTGGAGAGAGAAATGAAAGCTTTGTTTGCGCTAGTTATACGCTGGTCTGTAGTAATCATAAGTTTCTTAATTTTTTTTTATTAGAATGAAAATTAAAAATATAGTGATTTTGTTGTTACAGACAGGTTAGCAAAATTCAAAACTTTGCAAATGCTAGTTTTATTGGATGATATTATACTTGACCATGGGTCGCCAAAGTTTTTGTCTCGCAGGTCACGTTGAGACATCCAAAAAGTCCTACGAGCGAGCCATTGAGACTTCCTTTAAGTTACCGCGGGTCATGACATGTGATGAAAAAATAACTTGTTTAATAAATGACTATTCAGCTGTGAAATGAATTGTTGAAACAACACATGCAATAAATTATGTTTTAACTTCCCGTTGAAGCTATTTACTAAATTTCCTATGTTTATATAGTTTTTAAAATTTTACCATGTAATCAAAGGAACTAGTTTAAAGACTCCTGATTTTGACTATAGAGTTCACTTACAATGTCACTTGCTTGCTTATTCGAAACACTTGCTGTAAATAGCTATGTAAGTAGTTGTAATGAATAGCTGCGTAAGATTTGTAATTGGTGCCTTGCGCTGTCTCTCACCACTACACTGAGTCAAGACTCTTTCCCTCATTTCTAAGACAATATTTCCTAGGTTCGATCCTTTATCAATTTATCGACAGTCATCGTCGTTCTTACGCCTACAACCTTCTCCAATTCAAGTCCTCAGTCCATTCCTTTTCCACAAGATCTCGACCTTCTGACATTTATCTCATAGATCTGCCTCATTTCAAAACTCCTTTATTGCTCGCGCTGTCAATTTCTGGAATCCCCTTGCAATCAAAATTCGGCATTCCCCCTCCATATCCACATTCAAAACCCTCCTATCCTAATTCCTATCCCCAAAACAGTCAGATACTTGCTAAGCTTTTGATATTATACATTTCTATTATATCATTCATCCTCAAATGATAGTACTATTCCATACTGTAAACTTCAGTAGGAGTATTTCAATATCTTCCTACTCTTGATGCCACTGAATGAATCTATTGTTTGTTTTTACTTTTATTTTTCATTCTTATACAACTAAATCTGTACCTATAGTTACAATAAGATAATGATTTGTTTACATATTATTCATTATTTAAATACTCTTACATTTTATATTGGCAGATTCGTCTTTCCTCTGTTAGCAGAAGCACAGAGCTTACTTTAAAGAAGAACTCAATGTATATTTTCTCAAAAGTGTATCATTATCATTTTTCCTACTGCACATAGTTATTGTTTAATTGAGCATTGACTATTGTTCGAAGGATTGGATGCGTTTGATGTTAGAAAAAAGTATGTCTACCCAATGTAAAACCTTATATTTATGTAGGAATACTCTGATATTTAATTCATGTATTTAAAATCAAATGAATCAATAAAAGTAATTGTTCTATATGGTTTTTGTTTGAACGTTACGTATCTACTAATTGCAGTTAACAAAAACTTTTTTTCAAATTAAATTTATGATTACGATTTCTCTCTTACAGAAATTCCTATTAAAATTTGTTTTTGCAAGTTATTTATTAGTTTTCTTTTTCATTTGTATGAAATAGTTATTCTTTATATCGCTTTTATGTTCATCTATAAATCTTTTATAAAAGAATCACGTGGCTAGAATATCATAGGAAACCTATTTCAAAGATTAACCAGTTCCGTGTAAATTAAAAGCTATTTTGAAACTAAATATTAAGTATTAATAATAATGCTAAGGAATGTATTGAATATTCTATGCTCATGAAAGGTTATTGGCAGAGAATGTTTGACGCTGTCTGTTTTTTTTCACTCATGTATCTTAGCAGCTATCTTAGAACCGTATCATTATTTCATTTTGTCTTAAAATTTTTTAAATTATTTTTTAATGTACAAGGAAATAATATTAATTTAATACGAGACAGAGAACTGTCATGAGAAAAAAGTGACTATCAGGAAATGAAACAATGATGAAAAGAGTCAATTCAACGACTTAATAAGGGATTTGAAATGCAGATAAGAATGAAGACTAAAAGAAAAAGAACAAGATAGGCTTAGTTTTAAATTTAAGTAAAATAAGGCGCAATACACTGTTATGAAATAAAACCTCAGAAATTACACAAATAAACTAAAAACTGTGATAGTGACAGTTAATTTTTGAAAAGACGATTACCATTCAGTTTTAGTAGTTATTATATTATATATAATATAATAGTTAACTGAATATTATATATTATTTAACCATACATTCATTACTTCATTATCCCCTGCATTTTAACTTCTTTATTATATCGTTTAGTTGAATTTACTCTAGTTAATTTACTGTTTTCGTAACTATTTCGTTTGTAATTTTTTATCTCCCTCAGTTGTACTTTCACTAATTTAACGTTGGTTTTTAATTTTCTACCTATACTAGGTAAGGAAAGTATTGCAATCGGGTCAAATTTCCGACATGCGGTTTTCCACGGATCTGTACGTTTCACAGTCCCCTGAGTCCGAAAAACACATTTTTAGCCATTGGTCTGTCTGTCTGTCTGTACCAAGATTTTCTCGGGAACTACTGAACCGATTTTTTTGCTTCCTTTTTTATTTGACTACTGATGCCTGCGACAGAAATTCGTTGCTCCATGCGCAATAGCTTGCGCGCAATAAATGAAAAACATGTTTTTCTATAGGCTGTAGCGCAAAAACGAATTTGATGAAACTTTTCTATGATATTCTAATCATTGTCGTTCAATTTTCGTATATAGATTAAATTCCTGAAAAAATTCAGGGAAAAAAGTTATAAAGAAAAGAAAAATAATATGTGGCCCAACTCCTTAAGTATATATTATACGGTAAAATTTATACTAAAACTTTTGAAAGGTAATTAAATTACCAACAAAACAAAAAAAAGAAATCATCGGAATCGAACCAGTATTAGCGATGATACAGTTTATCCTATCGTTTGAAAGGTTATGAAATTCCCTACAAAGCCATAAAAAAATCGTTCATTTTGGACAACTATTAACGAAGTTACAACTATTCAATTTCCAATGAAAGATTACGATGACAGATTCATTTCCTGGTGTCAGAATGGGGTGAATGAGAGAATAAAGACTAAGTGAAAGTAACAAAATCTGTTACCCGCACCACACAAGCTTCACTATTTCCTCTACTTTTAACAGAAATTATTGTTTGACAATACTAAGCTATGGAAAAAAGTTTTTGATCAGCAATGTTAGTGTGCATTGAAATTTTTACGCTGATCTACCTTAAGCCGGTTTCATCGCTTTAGTTTATCAAATAAATCGTACTCAAATCTTTTGTTTGATCAATTTTCAGGAAAATAAAATTAGTTCAATTCTTTTTTATTTGTTTTGTTTCTTCATGAACCTATTTAAAGATATAAAAACTTTTCTGAAATAGGTAGGAAAGTCGTGTGAGTGGACACACCAGATATTTTTACTTTGACATACTGGTATTAAGTGTCTTGTCATAGTTTTAAGTGTTTTGTTTATAGAATTATTTATTTTTTTGTATAAAGATTTTTTTTAATATATAGATAGGTAGATAGATAGATAGAAAATAACTTTATTCTAGGAAACAGTCCCTTGAGAATAACAAAATAGAACAAAATTAAAAGATTACATCTGGCCAAAATAAAATCAATAGAAAAAAAAGAAATAATGTAAAGAAAATATAAGGTAAACATTCTATAAACAAAACGAAACTATATACAAAACAATTGACAAGATACTTAAAGCTATTTGCACTGATAGACCAGTATACACTTTTAAGAAAACATAAAGAATTAAAAAAATAAAAATATATTAAATTCTTCATTGAAATAAGCTTTGTGTTTCTGTTGAGGAAACAGAAAGCTGAACCTGATAATATAAAGTGCCTGATTACTATATAAATACATTATCATTTAAATGTTTTTTAATGTGTAAATACATCATCATAGTTTCTTAACGTAACAATAGAAAGAATTTAGTGGTGTATAAAAGATAATAGTTATAAACTACCAATAGATGCGTTCAGTGAAATCAAGAGTAGGAAAATCTTTACCCTACAAGAAAATTAATATCTCTAGCATAGCAAAGAACAGCATTGATATTTGACAATGAATGGTATGAAATAAATGTATGTTGTCAAATAGTTTGCAACTACCTGACATTTTTTGGGATAGGAATTGGAATAGGAGGGTTTTGAATGTGGATATGGATAAGGAATGTCGAATTTTGATAGGGAGGGAATTCCAGAAATTGACAGAGCGAGCAATAAAGGAGTTTCGGAATGAGGCAGATCTGTGAGAAGGCATGTAAAGGTTAGAAAGTCGAGATCTTGTGGACAGGGAATGGACTGAGGATTTGAAATGGAGAAGGTTGTAGGCGTAAGGACGATGGTATATATATAGCTTGTTTAACTAATTTTTTCTTTTTTTTTTTTGTTATCGTTTTATTTAGACCAGATGTAGTCTTTTAATTTTGTACTATTTTGTTACTCTAAAGGGACTTTGTCCCTGAATAAAGTTATTTTCTATTTCTATTGCTATTTCTAAATACTAAATCGCTAATAATTCACAATCAATTACTTGTCGAAAGGTCTATTTCCCCAGATGTGGGCTGCGCTGTTCACTGACCAGGTGCAGTTTAGTAAGATCACGTACTTCACGACGCATACGACAATGAAAGACATCTTCCAAGAGGCTCCCCAAACTAGGGGTGGTATTATAGTCGGAAGAACGAATGCAATTATGATTTTCAGAGGGATGAAATACCTGTAGAACATTAAAAATAATCATTATTTTTACGAAATTATTATGAATATATAGGAAAGATAGATGAATATATAGAAATATATATATAAATTAATGCAGGGTACGATAGCTCGCCCACTTTTAGATGGCAAACTAATCTGAAACTAAGTTTTATTATTTTTTTTCTTACCCTTCAATATTATTTACAAAATATTTTACATTTAGAGCACATTGTTCTGGTTTCAAAAAGGAATTATCCATTAAAGTTTTTGTGAAATGTTATTTGATGTAAATATTTATAAAAATCGAACAGCTGCCAACTAAATTTGGAGGAGCTATATTAACATGAAATCGATTATATTAATACATAGAACATATAAAAATAGTTATAAGTGTTCATATATCAAATTATGAAATTAATGTTTTACATCAGCAAAGGTAGAATAAATAGTACGAGTTAGAAAAATGGATAAATGAGGCTTCTAAAAAGTTATAATTTATTAGCTAGCCTCCTTTCGAACTCATCCTTTCGTAAGTAGATGGAAATATTTAAATAATTGATGGTCTAAATATTTAGACATCAAGATCTACAAAAAAAGTTCATATGAATAATTGCCCGATTTCCAGCAGAAAAATAGGAAATTTTAGATTTGTGGTTTTTAAGTGAGTCAGGTTTTTTTTGTTTAATATGAAGCGATAACGTAACGAATATTTGATTTAAGTAATTAAACATTGCTCCATAGTAAACTAGATAAAATTTACTTTAAACGAAAGTAGGATTTTCATTTTTAAAACTAAACCTGACTGATGAGCGGACTAACGTAGCTAAGTCCTTTTTAAAAAAAAAAGTCATAAATTTTTTTTTTTTTCATCACCCTAAAACTGTAATACATTTACCCCACTTTTAGAAAAACTTTTAATAAGCTTTAAGTTCCTATTATTTAAGCTGAGCTTTATTAGGAAAAATTTTGTGATTCACCTCAAGTTGTGTAAAAAAATGATATGATTTTCTATCCACTCAAGTAGAAGTACCTGTGTTTCCAGTAAAAATGATTAATAATTATAATTAACTGTTGTAAAGCTTTATTTTTCATTTTCCTGTGATATGGAATGTATTTTTAAAAACGTAATTGCCTAAAATCGCATTTTATTTATAAAAATAAAAATAAGGATTTTACTTATATTTTGTATATGGTTATGAAACTATGTTTTTCTTCCAGACCTCTGTCATAGAAATTGTTCTGTATTTATCAATGAAAAACTTTGACCTAAACTTAAACCTAAATTTATATTTAAAATAAAGAAATAAAGATTGCTCCAATTATTTTCATGAAAACGCAAATATTAGGGCTAGAAATATTAAGTTCGTCGTTACTTTAAAATACGCATACATTTCTATGACAGAAATCCGAGAGAAAAATACAATTTCATAACCTCCTTATATGAAAAATATTTGGGAAAGCGTTGTTTTTAATTTTTAGGCAATTTAGTTTTATTAAAATACATCTCTTATCACGGAAATACAAGAAATAAAAGTCTTGAAATAGTTAATTGTAGTCATTTTTGTCTGGAAACACGAGTAATTTTAATAGCTGTATAGAAAATCAAATCACTTCTTTATACAACTTGAGGTAAATTTTAAACATTTTCCTAATAAACCTCAAATTAATTAACACGGACTTAAAGCTTATTAAACGCCAACGTTTTCTAAAATTGGAGTAACTGTAGTACAGTTGAAAGATGATAAAACAAAATCACAGATAATTAATGAATTTTTTTTAAAAATGACAAAATCTACTTTCGTTTGAAGTAAATTTTGTCTAGTTTACTATAGAGAAATGCTTAATTACTTAAATCTAGTATTTGTCAAGTTATCGTTTCATATTAAACAAAAAAACGTGACTCACTTAAAAAACACTAATCTTAAATTTTCTATTTTTCTGGTGGAAATTGGGCAGTTATTTATATGAACTTTTTGTATATTTTAATCTCTACTATCAAACTTTTAAATATTTCCCTCTGCTTACGAGACACCCTAAATATATTTTTTATATTCTTTATTTATAAATACTAGTATCTGATACTGTGCTACTAGAATTTACCAAAAAGGAATAGTAATAACTCATTCTCAATAAAACAAATCAATTGAAAAAACGAGATAATAATTTTAAACACAATAACATTTTATATTTCCTCTCAACCTGGGTTTCTGCACGAAGTGTTGCCCGATCCATTATAAAAAAAATCTTGGGGAGGATTATATAGAAATATAGCGAAAGAGGGTAGTGGAGTCAGAAAATCGGAACGATTATTTTTTTTTTTTGATGATTGAGAAAAATGAAAAATCGGATGGTGAAAAATTATGGGCGGAAGATTGATAACAATAAAATACTGGATTAGCTTAAATTAAATGCTTCGTTCCTTAACTGTATGAATATTTTTTATTTATTTGTTTATTTATAACAATGGGGGGCTCCTCAACCTCTTACGGGCCATTTTAGCCCTTATACAGTAATTATATTACATCAGATGAAATTCAACAATAAATTGAAAGTTCTGGAAATTTTAATAAATATTTTTAAAATATCTTATATTTCATATTATATTTCTTCTAATTATATATTCTTATACCCTTTTAATAGCTATTAACGCTAAAGATTTTTAAATTGTATCTTGTAAATTTGATTCTTATCAGCTATTGCAGCTCATTATAATATTTGATAAATAGCAATGCTGTTCTCATTATCTCATGTGCGCTTATCTTGTTTTATGGGGTCATTTTAGGTTTTTCATGTATTCAAATATATATTTAAAAATTAAAATATTTAACAAATGGAAATAAATATTTATAAAACCAGTAGCAGACCTCAAGAGCTACAAAAAAGTTCATACAAACATTATTCCGATTTTCGGCAGAAAAGTAGTTAATTTAATTAATTAACTAATTTAATAGGAAGCGACTACTAAAGAAATGTTTAATTTAAGTAATCAACGATTGCTTCACAGTAAACTAGACAAAATTTAATTCAAATGAAAATAGAGTTTGTCATTGTTAAAACATTTAAAGAGGAATTTTGAGGAGCTTAACTAAGCTAAATTCTGTTTTTTAAAAAAGTCATAAATTATTCTTTATCATTCTCCGGCTATATTACAGAAATTCCATCTCTAGAAAAACTTCCTAAATTAATAACCATTAAATTTATATTAATGATGTCGAGGTTCATAAGGGAAAAGCTTGAGATTCACCTAAAGTTGTGTAAAAAAAGTTGTCTTTTTTTTTTTTTAATTTAATTTTTTATTTATGCCAACGTTTCAACCCAAACATGTGGGTCATCTTCAGGGCGTGGTTTGAGCACTGAGGGTGTTCAAGTACTCCAGTGCTCAAAACACACACTGAAGATGACCAACATGTTTGGGTTGAAATGTTGGCATAAATAAAAAAAAAAATAAAAAATAATAAAATACAGCCTCTTGAATATAATATAAAGATATGTAGAACAGTCGACTAACTTCCTTCAATAATTCGTAAAAAATTATGTTATTTTATTTTATTTCTTCTAAAAGAAACCGTATTTAGTAAAAATGACTAAATATATAGACCGTATATAATAATGATCTTATATAGTATTTAGTAAAAATGACTACAATAAATTATTGCAAAGTTTTTATTTTTTGTTTTTCCGTGATCTGCGATGCATTTAATTGCTTGAATACACTTAATAATAAAATGTTAAAAATAATTTTATTTCATTATTTTTCCTGTAATGCGGTTATGAAACTGTGTTATCCACCTAGATCTCTATGATAGGAATCGGTCAGTATTTACAAGTAACAAATTAAATATTTCTGTTCCTAATATTTACGTTTTAGTACAAATAGCCAGACCAATCGGTTGATTTATTTATTTTAAACGTAAGTTTTAGGGCTAGAAACATTTATTTCGTCTCTTATAAATTCTGATTAATTCCTGTAATAGTGATCTGGGTAAAATACACATATCATTTTAGATGATTAATAATCGAAAAATCATTATTTTTAAATTTTTTTTTTCATTTATATTTATTATCATAGGAAATTAAAGCTTTGCAATAATTTATTATAATAATTTTTACTAAAAAAAAACGGGTACATATTGATGATAGCATATAAAACAAATTCTTTTACTCACCTTAGATAAAGCTCAACATTTTTCCTAATAAACATCAATTGAATTAATCTGTGCTTAAAAGTTATTAAAGTAGAAAATTTTTCTAAAAGTGGGGTTTCTGTAGTATAATTGGAGAATGATGAAAAAACTCGTAAATAAAACAATAACAGGATTTTGCTTAGTTTAGTCACTCAAAACTCCCCTTTAAATTTTTTTAAAAAAGAAAAACTCCATTTTCACTTGAGGTAAATTTTGTCTAGTTTTTTGAGAAACAATCATTTTTTACTTAGATGAAATCTTTTTTTAGTTTTCACTTTCTATTCAACAAAAACGTGACTTACTTAAAAAAACAAAATACAGAACTTAAATTTCTTACCTGAGGCAAAACTCAGACCAATGTTTATATAATAATAAAATTTATAATATCGAGGAAAACATTTATTTATTTTATCCTCCTACATTTACTCAATGTTTTAATTCATTCGAATTTCTTGATGACGGTCGGACAATGTTGCCCGTTTTCAAGGTGAATAATTTTATCTATAATATAAATGCACAATGATTATAAATACATATATGTAGAAAATATAACAGCACATAAAAGAACAGTAAACAAAAATTCAAAATATTAAATCAATGATATCTCTACTTACATCATTATTATATAATCCATATAATCATAATTTTATATAATTATTGCAAAATTTATCTTCTCAAAATCAATCCTTCAAATTATAAAATACAAAAATTATTCATGAATAGTCAATTCTAAAAACAACAGAAAAGAAACATACAAAATATCGCAAATTAAAAAAGTGGAAAAAAGAATTTTTTTTAACAATTTAAAATTCTATTCTATAAGTTAGTTGTGGACATACAAAAATTAAAAATTATTTGAAAATTACTCCAAAATTTAAAAAATAAATTTGAATGAATTAGAACATTGAGTAAATCTGTAAGGCTAAAATAAAGTATTTTCCTCGTTATTATAAATTTTATTATTAATATATACTCTTGGAATTTTTTTTTTTTTTTAATGATTAATGAAGAAACATTTATATAATTTTTTTTTTATCTCTTGATATAAATACTACCTCTGCTTACGGAACATCCTATTTACTTAATTTGATTATAGTTTCTATGTGGTACTCGTATATCAGAAACTCACTTCCTATGAAAAGCTAGGAGCGGGTCTTTCTCAATATCAGACATGTCGACGGTTTTTCCTTTTTCGTATACTTCAGGGTGCTTCCTCATCATGAGCCAGCCCACGTGGGAGAAGAAGAATCCTCTCTTGACGTTGTGTGGATCCGCGTCTGTCTCTGAGAACTTGTGGTGCACTCTGTGATCTCTAACCCAGTCGTACATGCTATTCTGTAAAATAAAATTGTGTCTTTGAATAAATATTTAAAAGAAATAAACAAATTTAAGATTCGTCCAAGAAGGACTTAACCTCCTCTAAACAGTAATATTGTTTTGTCTATTTGTATTGTTGAGTACCGTCCAGCTTTTTGGGTACGCTGACGACTTTGATATTACCGCCAGATCGGAACGTGCATTAAGAGCGTCGTTCTTGGCTATAGAAGATGCAGCAAAGAAACTCGGGCTACACATTAATGAAACTAAGACCAAGTATATGAGAGTCGGAGGAGATGGGCCAGGGACCGGTTCTTTTATGGCTGGACCATATAAAGGTATGCAGCTTTGTCAACCTCGGGTCTGAGATCAACTCCGAAAACGACATCTCTGGAGAAGTCAATAGAAGGATAGCAACGGAGAGACGGGGCTAATTTGGCCTTTCGAAGCATTTTGGAAGCAGGTTCCTCTTTAACAGGACCAAGATCACTCTCTACAAAACCTTGGTCCGCCCTGTTTTAACTTAAGGTTCAAAAGCACGGGCCTTTAAGAAGCAAGATGAAAATAGAGTTCTGTTCTTTGAGAGATCAATCTTGAGAAGGATTTATGGTCCTGATAGAGAGGGTGGAATTTGGAGAAGAAGGAGAAATGCTGAACTCGCTTGCCTTTATAAGGATATAGACTTTGTCAAGTTTATCAAGATAGGACGACTTCAATAGGCCGGACACGTATGAATTATTGGGCGATATCTAGGATATAAGTTGCATGGACAAAGAAAGGTTGGCAGGCTAAATGTAAGATGGGAGGGCTCTGTGACATCGGACGCACATGCTCTACTGGAAGTCCGAAACTGGAGAGCTGCTGCAGCTGATCCTCGATTTTAACGCAATCCGGGGTCTCGTAAAGTGGTGCTAATTTCGTAAACCCACAGAAAATGTCATAATAAAGTTTTAATGTCCTCTTTAGTTCGTTGTACAATACCTGTCTACCAATTCGAATCTTTACAATACCTTGAACAATTGGACAGACATTTGGTGATGTTCTGGTGAAAATACAGAATGGCGTAGAATTTCATTTCTGTTGTCTGTCAACCCATACCATCTTCCTGTATCGTCATCCATTTGGGGCAACATCTGTCACCAAAGAGGAGACTTCTTCCATCCACTGACTGATCCAGGAAGAAAATTTAGACTATATTTCATTGACTTAACAGATAGAATTTCGTGTATATTTTCATCGAGAATCCTTAATCTTTATTCATGGTATCTGTTAAAGCATTTTCAATCAAATAATTCAGCAACTCTCCCATTTTATTTCGCTTTGGCATTTTAAAAATAAACCGAAATATTATTAGACCAATCAAGCAGGAGACCTCACAAATTTTACGATCCAATCACAACCTTATTATAACTTTTTTTTTTTTAATTTTATTTGTTGAATAATAATACATTTTGCCACACCCAAGGGCATTAGGTGTTAGTGCTAAAAGTAAGTAGTCATTCATACAGTATATACAAAAAGAAAAAAATATATATGTAAGTAATTAAGAACTAATTATAAATAAATAAATAATAATAAATACTATAAAGAAATAATGAACTAACAAATATATAAAATAATAATAATAATAAGTAACAATAAAGCAAGAATAATGATAAAAGTTTTTTTTTTTTTTTTTTTTTTTTTTGTCTTTACATCTTCATCCGCACCTGTCATGGTAGTGACAATTAGCAGATTTGCTGTTTAAATTGAAAATGACATGATAAGCATGACGAAGAATGGAGCCCAGCAGCACCTCTTCCCTGGCCTGTTTATATCCTAAAATCAGGAAAGGAGATCTCTCATCCAGCTCCTTTTCAGTCGCCTCCTGATGAGCATTTCAGCCGTGGCCATGTCTTTGATAAGTCCATTGTGATGTCCGTGTAGTTTTAGATGAAATCGGGAGTAAAGAGTACGTATGTGCTGGTCAATGGTTGGTTGTCTTAGGTCGGTATGTAAAGTCTTATTGTTGACGTACCAGGGAGCTGCAGTTATTAGTCTTAAAATTTTAGATTGAAAGGATTGTAGTTTTTGTAAGTGAGTCTTTTTTGCTGAACCGTAAATCTGTGAGGCGTATGTCCAAATGGGTTTGAGCAGGTAAGTGTATGTATTTAGTTTTTGTCTAATTTTCAATTTTGATTTAGAAAACAGTGAGTACAGTATTTTCAGTCGCTTGTTCAAACTCTTTCTTTTCATTTTTACGTGTGGGCCCCAGGTCATCCTTCTGTCAAATATTAGTCCGAGGTAGCGTATACTGTCCGTCTGAGGAATTGGATTGTTGCTGATATAAACTGGTGGGCATGTTTCTCGTCGAAGCGTAAATGTTATGTGTTGTGATTTGTTATGATTTAATCTAATTTTCCAGAGTGAATACCAATTTTGTAAATTTAGTAAATGATTTTGTAAATTTAATGATGCTAGTCTGGGGTCATGGTGTTTTGTTAAAATTGTTGTATCGTCAGCGTAAGTAGCAGTCAATGTTTCAGAGTTGGTAGGCATGTCATGAGTATAGACAATGTAGAGTAAAGGTGCCAATATTGATCCTTGAGGTACCCCTGCTGATACTGGTCGAATTGAGGAAATTTCTAAACCCTGTCGGACAGAGAAGAATCTGTCGAAAAGGAAAGATTGGAGAATGAGATAGTATGTATTAGGCAGTATAGTTTTGAGTTTGAAGAGAAGTCCCTGGTGCCAGACTTTATCAAATGCCTGGGCAACATCCAGAAATACGCCGGTAGCATATTGTTTTTGCTCTAGCGCTCCAGCAATGTAGTCAGTAACTCTGTGTAATTGGTGTGTAGTTGAATGAAATGTACGAAAACCGAATTGATGGTCAGGTATTATTTGTTGGTCTGTCAGTATGTCAACCAGTCTTTTGTATATTAATTTTTCGAAAACTTTGGAGCAAATCGGAAGGAGACTGATAGGTCGGTAGGATGAGGGATTGAAAATGTCTTTGTCCCTTTTGTGTATCATCTTGATATGTGAGTATTTCCATTGTAATGGGAAGTTAGTTGTCCTCAGAATACAGTTGTATATTGTCGTAAGGAACACTAGAGCTTTCCTAGGCATTTGCTGGAGACCCTCGGCAGTTATTAAGTCATAACCTGGAGCTTTTCTTTTTGGGAGATGTCTGATTTGTTGTGCGACTTGTGAAGGAGTGAAAGGAAGAGGGGGAGGTGTCATCTGTAATGGTATGTCTAGAGTATCAAATACTAAGGTTTCATGTTCTGTGTTCGTGAAGTCGGTAAATGGTGTAAATACTGATGAAAGATGGTCTGCAAATAGTTCAGATTTTTCTCTATCCGACAAAGCCCATGAACCGTCTTCGTTTCGCAGGGGTACTGACACCTCTCGATGTTTTAACAAATTTTTGGTATGCTTCCACAAACTTCCATCGTCAGTTGATATGCTGCTCAAATAAGCATCATAATTCGTTCTGTTGAATTTTTGTATTAGTCGTTTAAGTTCGTTATTTAGTCTGTTAAATGTCCGTCTATCTGAGGGAAGTCTGTTAGTCTGCCATACCTTACGCGCTCTCCTCTTTGCCGTGATCAAGTCCCTTATATATTGAGGATATCTTGGCAAGTGTTCTGCTCTTGATGATCTTGGTAGCGATGAAGACCAAGCTGCTTTTTGGACACTTTTTGTAAATTTGTCCACTGCCTCTTCTAGTTCATCTGCTGTTTTAATGGAGCCAGGGATTGAAAGTTCTGAATCCAGAATTTCCCTGTAAGCATCCCAATCCATTTTACCATTAAGGAGCTTAGGTGTTCGTGGAAGATTGATGGGCTCATCAAGGATAACCAAATGTATAAGGGAATGGTCAGAGCAAAGATCAGAGCTCGTATTTATGGTGTAAGGTATGGTGCGCAGTCCTTTGGTTATAAAAAAGTCTAGTAGGTCTGGGGATTTACGTAGTGAAGTCGGCCAATATGTCGGTGTATCAGGTGATATAATGTCTAATGAAAGCTCGTGGATAGCAGCCCTCAGATTTCTTCCTCTTGGTGTGCACAGCCGTGACCCCCAAAATTGGTGCTTTGCGTTAAAGTCACCGCCTACTATAAAGCAACGCCCAAGGCTTCGAAAATAGTTGCAAAACATCGAAGGTGTTAATACGTACCTCGGAGGACAATATACTGAAGCTATTGTTATTGTGTGATGTTTGGTGTGTAGTGTTAAGCCTGTGGTTTGAATGTCAGGTGTAGTAGGTAAGTAAAAGGGATTATGTGATAATGATGTCTTTATTAGTATTGCTGTACCACCATGAGCTGTGTTGTCCGGATGGTCTGTTCTGTAGGTATTGTAACCAGAAATATGAAATTTAGTTCGTGGTGTAAAGTGTGTTTCTGTTATCATTGCGATGTCAATGCGTTTTTCGTGTAAATATAAGTCCAATTCTGTCCTATGTTGCGTTAGTCCGTTTGCATTCCACAGAAGGATGGACAGGGAGCCTACAGTTAGCTGATTAATGGCCATTAGGAAGACACATGCCTTGTGTTATCTGTGAGAGCTGTTGGAGGAGACTAAAAAGGGGCTGAATGAGAGTATTCAGACCATTCAATAACTGGAATAGTTGTGGAGACATGCAGTTTTCAGCTGAAGGTAGCTGGGTACTTTTTCCCCTCATAGTTGCTGAAGGTTGAATGTTTGGAAGTACTGATGATGGAGGCAGTTCCTGAGCTTGCGGTTGCGATTGCTTCTGTATTTGCTTCTGCTGTTGCACTGGAAGTTGCTGTTGGGGCTGTTGATGAGGCTTTTGGTTCCGCTTCTGCTCTTGATATGGGCTTTGCGAAGGTTGTGGAAGATCCGGGAAATTCTGAAGATTTGCAGATGGAGGTGATTCCCTCTGGTGAGCATGATTCCTCTTGGTCCTCTGTGCCCTTAGATCTCTAAGGGTTTGACACCCCCGATAATTGGCCGGATGTTCGCCTAGACAATTAGCGCATTTAGCTGGAGTTTCTCTAGTTTTGCTACAA